TAGTTATTTGTCAATGCTATAGCACCAGCTATGTAGTTATTTGTCAATGCTATAGCACCAGCTATGTAGTTATTTGTCAATGCTATAGCACCAGCTATGTAGTTATTTGTCAATGCTATAGCACCAGCTATTAGTTATTTGTCAATGCTATAGCACCAGCTATGTAGTTATTTGTCAATGCTATAGCACCAGCTTTTTATTTATTTGTCAATGCTATAGCACCAGCTATGTAGTTATTTGTCAATGCTATAGCACCAGCTATTAGTTATTTGTCACTGCTATAGCACCAGCTATGTAGTTATTTGTCAATGCTATAGCACCAGCTATGTAGTTATTTGTCAATGCTATAGCACCAGCTATTAGTTATTTGTCAATGCTATAGCACCAGCTATTAGTTATTTGTCAATGCTATAGCACCAGCTATGTAGTTATTTGTCAATGTTATAGCACCAGCTATTAGTCACCGTTCCGAAAGAGTTGTAACACTTAAAAAATTATTACAAAAAAAGAATAACAACCAATACATTTTATACTGGTCCCAGTGACTGGTTGGTCTTTGTTGGCTTTACCAGGAGTGAGCATAATTACTCCCGGTCCGTGGCATTGAAAGTCTGGGAAGCGCTTCATTCTAACTGACGTCATTGAGACATAGGCACAGTATGACATGCCTTTCAAGTTTAGGCTCTCTGTTTAGCCTCGATAGAAAAAAGCGTAGTTTGCAAGAGAATTGATGACATCTCTCTCGCTCGCTCTCTCTCTCTCTCTCTCTGTCTGTCTCTCTCTCTCTCTCTCTCTCTCTCTCTCTCTCTCTGCTGCTGCTATCTCCCGGCGACACGCTCTGTTTGGTTCGACCGAGTCAGTGACATTGTGGGGACGGGAGGGGGGTAAGGAGTGAAGTGGCCTGGCGTTAATTTCCACTCGTTTCGGGCCCTATGACAGGCCAGGGGAAAGGGTTTTAAAGAAATCATCTCGGCCATTTCTTCCCCAAGCATCAGATACACATGGGGCCACAAATATACAAGGTAACGGGGCCTCAATATACAAGGTAAAGGGGCCTCAAATATACAAGGTAACTTGGATTCATATATACTAGGTAATCAAATAATATACTACTATACTCTATACTATTTACTTCTACAATCTCTCCGTCAAGCGATCCAAAGGGCAACAGAAATTAAACAACCCATATAATATAGGCCTAACTTATAAGCAAATTTTTTCATTCAAATCTTTTATAAAATGTAATATTGACCAATGGGGGTGTGGCTGAACATTTGAGAAAACATGCACACAAGTAGTGCTCCACCTCACCCCCGGGCCTCGTAACCGCACATATTTTTTTTCACGGCCCTTAACTATTTTCATACTCTAATGACCCACCCACTTTAAAACCGCAGATATTTTTCACCAACTATTCAGAAAAACAAAAGAAACTATTACGCACCAAAAGCACTTGCGATATTATTTTTTAAAAATATTTTTTAAAGACTCTCATTTAGCGCAGTTATCGGGAATTTTATGTCGTGAAATCGGCGTCATCACAATTCCTTCATCTCCCCCCTTGAGAAACAGGGAAAAACTGATTTTGGTGGGTTGGGGTATTATAGGTGATAAGGCTGAAAACTTGAAAGAATGTGTTGTCATCGGCAAGCAAAACGATCAAGGATTTTTACTTTTTTTGTTGTTGTTGGTTTTTTTTTTTTTGAGTTGAAAGGGGGGCATTTATCATGACACCAGTGGAGCGGCTATTGTTTGTGACACCCCGGGGCGGTTCTTGACTTTGCCGCCCCCATCACTCACAAAAAAAACTATGCCTACAGAGTACGAATTCAATTTAAGTCATTTGTCTTTTTATGCAGTGGTGGACCGAAAAAAAGAAGCCCTCAGGGAGGACCACCCCCCCCCCCCCTTCAACTAAATCCATAACACATATCGCAAAGGGACATCAACAGAACAGAGAGTGAGAGAAACAGCAAGAGGCGGAATTGAACGAATGAGCTGGAAAGAATTTATCCCTCACTAGAGAGATGCCTGAAAACAATGTGTGAAACAGAGGCGTCGCGCAGGTTCTGCTACCAGTGGCTTACCTAGGGTTAGTGCCGCCCGGGGCGGGCCAATAGTTTTGCAGCCATCTTCCATGAAAAAAACAACAAAAAAACTCTGATGTAGACATAAAAATACCCTCCACATAATGGAAAAAGCGCCCCCCCCCCCCGCCTGTCTTTCTGCACTCCCTGAAACCTCCCCGGCTGAAAGAGCCCCGTATATTTAGGGAAGAGGGAAAAAAAGTGAGTGGGGGGAAAAAAAACAACAAAAAAACTCGTATGTAGACATAAAAATACCCCCCACACAAGGGAAAAAGCGCCCCCCCCCCCGCCTGTCTTTCTGCACTCCCTGAAACCTCCACGGCTGAAAGAGCCTCGTATATTTAGGGAAGAGGGAAAAAAAGTGTGTGGGGGGGTGTTGCAAATTTGTGATGTTGAAATAATAATACATTTGAATCCAGGGGTGCACCAAAGAGCAATTGGAAAAAGGGTCGAGGGCTCTAAAAGATACTCGACGGCTCTGATGTGAATACTTATGTGTGTGGCTTATAAGTAGAAAGCCTACTAGCGAATAAATGAAAAAATAACAGTGTCATTTTATACCGAGTCTAAATAGTAATTTTTAAAATTGCTGTTGTTCAACTTGATATTCCTAGAAAGTGCCGTCTGGGTGGTCATCCCTTTCGCCCAAACGAGGTTCGCCACTGATTGAGGCTTTCTGCGGTTTTTATTATTATTTTTTTTGGGGGGGGGGGTCATTAAGTTGTGATATTATGGGGGAAACAAAGTATTTTAAAGTGTATTAAATAGTTACATAGCAAACCTTACAAAGTGGCACTGGGCATGATCACTAGAACTGAGTCATGCACTGGGTCACCAAAAGTTTCTCTGGGTTTACCCCCATGTAGTTTGTTCCCTTGCGTTAAATTATTTCTTCCGAGGCCCGAGTTGGCACCGAAATATTTCGGTTAACTTCGGGCAGGATCACGGGAAAGGAGTACATCCGCCGTCTGCAACGGTCCACTCCTCCTTCCTTCCCTCCCAGTACACAAAAACTTTACACAACCCAAGATGGCGAACGTTTGTTTTGTACTAGGTCTTGTCACATCTGTTTTAAGCCTGGCTTGTGTGGTGGTGGCCATGGCCAGTTCACAGTGGTTGAGGATTCGAACACCTTTCTTCAAAAATGATGTTGGTGTTATGAGGCACTGTGATATTGATAGTTCATTCTGTGGGGAAATGGAAAAACTAAATGCCCTTGTCGACGCTCATTACGCAGGTCAGTCAGACCTACTTCATGCACTACACTTCTACAGTTACTTAGTTACTATATTAGTCTGTGTACTATATCTATAGCCACAGGCTATAATTATAGCACAGCTCAGCAATTTTTTTTCACTCGTGGTACACCCAAGGGCTTTCCAAGAATTCTGCAGCACACCTGAAGTAACCATGTACAAAAAATACTCTAAAAAAACATTATTTATTATTATGATATTATTTATGACATTGACATGACAAAGTTATTTAAAAAATATTAATAATACATAATTTCATATTTTTGGAAACTTATTAAATTAACTCATGGCAGTGAGTCATAGTCACAACTAAACACTAACTAAATTGAAGGCTTCATCAGTATAAAAAAAAAAAAAAAAGTGCAGTGCTAAATTTCATTTTTATTATCTTTTGAACAGGGTTGCCCCCACCCCATGGTATAAAGACAGTAAATGATCTCTCCATTTGTTTTATTATTTTTCACCCTATAATTATGCCAGATTTTTTCACCTAACTATAAGTTGGTGAAAATGAATGACATTTGAATGCATTTTCACAAAAAAACGAAACAAGAAATTAAATTTATATTAAATTATTGATGTGTAATATAAATAAATCTAGATGAAGCAATGAGGACCAGGTTTATGTGCTCAGTAAATAGGAAGCAATTTTGAAGATACTATTTATAATGAAGGAAACAGAATTTACCTTTAATATTATTTAATAATAAAGCAATGGAAACAGAGGAAGCAGCTGAAGGTGCAATGAAGCTGTCCACCAGAAATTCCTGATAATAAAGTAAACACCGAATGAAATTTAAAAAAAAAAAAAAAATCGGGCAGAACAGTTTTCTAAATCACCAATAAATCAGGAACTACTCATGGAAGGAAAGAAATTTATATTTGAAATGGAAAGCTGGGGAAAATTATATGTCAGAGACTGTGTAGCAAAAGCTTGGACAACCAACATTGAGTCCAGTATCCATTAAGTATGACTTGGCTTCAGGTGACCAATTTAAAGTTCTAGGAAGTAAAGAAATAAAAGCTGATGCAAGTGAATCCTCTTCAAACATGTCCTTAGTAGTAGTAAAAGATCACAAATTAAACTTGCTGGGCAGAACAGCAGTAAAAAAAATCTTAATATTTCAATGGACCATCTTTTCAGACACAGGTATATCATATAAGCAATAAAAACTCTTGCATAAATCTTGTGCGCAAACCTCCAGTGAATTCCTTAAACTTTTTGAACCAGGTCTTGGACTATTTAAAGACTTTGAGTTAGATATCAAGTGCAAGCCAAATGCACAACCTATTTATATGAAACCCAAAAATTGTTCATTTGGAATTAAGGCATAACTAGCAGAAGCTTATGAAGCTGGAATATCCTCAGCAGTCTGAAAACCAGTACAGTTTAATCATTTGGCCCCTCCATAGCTCTCTTAAAAAGGAAATCTATAACAGGGGGAAAGGTACAAATCAAGATCTGTGATGACCATGCAAAAATTAAAAATTCACAGTTAGAAACACCCAGGTACCCAATGCCATTACCAGAAGACCTTATAAGAAAGTTGAAAGGTGGACATTATTTCTTAAAAATACACCTTTCTGATGCGTTTTTGCCCAACGATAAATTTAATATTTGGTGCATGAACTATGAAGAAATGGCATATCAAAAGGGTCAAAAGTAGATAACCATGAGGGCAAAAGTAGATAACCATGCCGGCAGCCACAGATATGTCCAGTCTGCAGTCATTTCTTGGTCAAGTGCAGTTTTAAAAGTTCTTACCAGACCTGTCAACTGTACTATAGCCTATAGCCACTGTATTATTTAACTAAAAAGAACAGTTGATGGTGGAAAACAGAGCAAGAAGAAGCTTTCAGAAAAGTCAAACAATTGCTCTCTTCTGATACAGTTATAGTTCACTATGATCCAACTCTAAACATAGGCATAGCCTGGGACATGTCAAATGTTGGCATAAGAAGTTTTCTTTCCACAGATATCATGACAATCGTGAAGGCCCTTTTGCTAAAATTTTGAAAACTTTCACAGTGGCACAACACAGATATAGTCAGATTCAGAAGGAATCACTGTCAATTATTTTTGCACTATCAAAATTGGATCAATATCTGTATGAAAGCAAGTTTGTTTTGGTTATCGACCATAAACCACCGAAAAGCATATTTAGTTCAGGAAAAGGAACTCCAGCACTGGCAGCAAATCGTTTAGCCAGGTTGGCTCTTACCTTGAGTCAATGTGACATTATTATCGAATTCCTTGAGTCAATATGACATCATCATTGAATTCCTTAAGTTAATATGACTATATCATTGAATTCCGAAATTAGCTGATCATGGGATGCTCATAGTGGTCTACCCTCATTCCAGATGACATTTTTGATGGTGAAGAAAGTGAAGCAGATATGGATTCTGTATGTTTGATCAAACTAGTGAGCTTGCAGATCAGACCAATAGATCCAGGAGTCCTTGCCAAAGAGTCACTTAAAAACTCTTCTGATTCTAAGTAATTATTTATTGTCAAGAGGGCTAGCCTTTCTCTACTAGCAAAGCTTTAACTCTGATGCAGTTAATTTATCAGCTTTTAAAAATATTAAAGTCTCACTCTGAGTGGATTCAAATTGTTTCTTATATGGTTCAAGAATTGTAGTGCCTAAAATAATTCAAGGTCAGGTTCTCCAAATCCTGCATATAGGGCATTTTGGAACTGAGCGCATGAAACAGCCAGATCATCTGTATACTTGCCAGGGCTTGATGCTCAAATCACAGAGCTAGGCCTAACATGCCAGGCATATCAGATCACACCCAAGACCTTAAACAAGCCATGGATGCTGCCAGAAAAACATGGAGTCTATTGTATATTGCGCATGAAACAGTTAGCCAGATCATCTGTATACTCGCCAGGACTTGATGATCAAATCACAGAGCTAGGCCTAACATGCCAGGCATACACAGATCACACCTAAGACCCTAACCAAGGCATGGATGGTGCCAGAAAACATGGAGTCTACTGCATATCGACCATGGGATCAACTGGGATCACATTGGCTGGTGATGAAAGATGCTTATTCAAAGTACAACATCCACATCATAGTGATTAGTCTCATAAGATCCTATTGAACATATTATTACAGGTATAATTTATATTGTTTGATGTTTCCAAAGCAGTCTGGACTGTAACAGCTCTTCATTTGGTTTATAGTTAAGTCTTTATTTTTTTGTCAAACTGAGCTGATATTTGTTTATATTTTATTTTACAGCATGGTTTCGTTCCATCCAAGCGATGTACCTATTGCACTGTATTGGAATGCTTGTCTCCACTGTTATGTACATCCTCTATGCTGTACAGTTTTTGGAATCCAAGGGCAGTTTTAGAGTTCTCACTGCTTTTAACTTTTTGGCACGTAAGTGAACAAGTGTTTCATTTGTCAGTGTGTACGTCAGTAAACAACTGTTTCATTTGTCAGTGAGTAAGTAAATGAAGATAGACCTACAGTTGACTTTATAAGTTTAAGTTCTAGTGCTACTGGTGTCTATTCATATGCAAATGAATACCATTTTTTGAGTTACAATTTTCTGTATGTAATCCTTGAGCATAATGCTAGTTTGATATTTGTATGTATGTGTATAGAGTGTTTTTCCTTAAGTTTTTCTGTATGGTACATAATTTTTTTACAAGCATAGGTTGTTTTTTTCTTTTATATTTAATGAGACTTTCTTCTCCTCAGTGTCCGCTGGTATTTACGCTGTTGCAATGTTCGGCATGAATCATCTCTCGTACTTTGGGCTCACAGACCTATCAATCACAGAGGAAATGGCTGAGCTCGGCTACGGGTTCAACATGGCCATCACTGGATGCTGTTTGTCTTTCCTGGTCATGGTGTTTAGTGCCATGGAAGCCAGCCGAGCAGTGGATTTGTTGCAGAACATGCAGAATCGCCTGACAGTCTGGACAACCCCATACACTTTGTTTGTTGACCAAGAAGCATAGAAAGGGAATTGAATTAGAGCATCTTCTTCTTAAATGCTGTCCTTAGGTTAAAAAAAAAAAAGATATCAAGACACTAAAAAATAATGCCTCTGATAAATGACAGTGTTATAAACTTTGTGAATTGTTATAAGTTTAAACTAGTAATTCCCATAGACTTACTTAAGTTAATTGGAAAGTATGATTGTGAGCGAAGAAAATGTTCCAAAAATTTAAAAGAAAAAAAAGTTTAAATATATTGTTTGTAGCAAGGGTGTTCTTATAATGCCTTTTTACCCCGTCTGGGGCATAGGCCGTCCACAAGAATGTGGCAAGGGTAGATTGATATAAATAGGAATATTCAAATGTTCATTGAAATGAGGCAATTTTAGAAAGCCATCAAATTTTATAAATGTTTCTTCACCCTACTTTTAGATAGTTTGGGATATCATTTTTGAAATAAGAAGGAATCACTTTGTCTCTTGTAATGAACAGAATCGTCCATGTTTGGTCAACAGTAACTCAACAGTAATTTTATATATATATTAAAATTTTGAGTCTTTTTAATATAGCAGAATGTGCAGTAATTAAATTGCTAAATGTTAAAAAAAATCTACAGTAGTGATTCAAGGCCAATGATGACATTTTATCCACATGTTGTGATACTAAGCTATATTTATCTTAAGTTAGGTTGTGCCTCCCAGCAGTCTACACTGTCCAAAAACCATCTACTACTGTGGCCACCTGTTGTGAGCATAATGTCATTCCCAGATAGAATTTGACCATGGACAAAAAGTCATTTTATAAATAGGATGTACACATGAATTTTTTATTTTTTTGTGGGTGGGGAATTTCCAGTTATACTGCTCAGTGCTGACTTGTTCAAATTCTTCATAAAGTGAAGTTTTTGGAGTTACATTATTATTAGTGAATGTTTTATTTAGTTAGAATTTAACACATATAAACTTGGATATTATACAGTCTTTGAACTTTTACAATTACTTTATTGAATATTTGAATGTTTAAAAACAAAATATCAATGCAGTCAGCTCAAAAATTATTGTTTCTAATTTTGGTGTTTGAGGGTGATAGAATAAAGCAGTGGTTCCAAATCTCTTTTCAAAAATACTTTTTGCAACCCACAACCAAGATTTGTATTTTTATACATTAATACAAAATTATGTCATTTGGGTGGGGATGTATAAAAAAACTAACAAATTCAGGAAATCCATATTCTGACTAAGTTTGGGAACCACTGATTTATGTCATTTGATTTGTTCTAATTATGTAAAGTTAAATGCCATTGATTTTTTGTGGTCATTTTGTAAAATGTGAATTCTTAACCCTTCACAGTCTGATGAGCTGAAAAGGGTGCCTAATATTTCCTAACAATGCTGTTTGGCAGGCACCTGCTGTTAATTCAGCATTCTAGGTTTTCATGATACCAGATGTTTCAGTATCACAAGAAAATTACTTGAAAACATAATAGTGGGGTTTTTCTTTGATTCATTTTATTGATATGTGGACAATGATATGAGTATTTAAAATATCATGTGAATCTCCTCCCAACGACTTATTTGACAGCATCATCAAATTTTTTTCCATTAGTAAAATGTGTTTTTTTTTATATGCAAACACCCACCAACAAAAGTTAAACCCATTACTCAAGATGAATTAACACACTTAAACATGTAAAATTAATTGATACTGATTAGAAACTCATGCTCGAACCGTAAAGGGTTAATGATTCCATCATGTTGTACACATTTTGTACAGTTGATTCTTCTCCAAGTTTTAGACAGTTCATTGTACTATGTTTTGATTTGGGAGCAATTAGTTTCTTATCAACGACACAAGTGAACAGCAGTCGATTAATCTCTAACATTTAGAAATATAAGTATTTCTTTAAAACATACATGTTATACTGTCTACTCGTCGTCCATTTGTTAAGGAGATTCTCTGGAGAACAAATTTAAGCTCATCTTATGCCCTATGTCAAATATTAATTGTGCTTCAGAGACTTGCTTATTTTGTAGATTTTTCTCTTAAAATATTGAATCTAAGATATTTCTAGATTTTTAATGCTGTTATTTTGTCATGATGCCAATATCATGTGATTTTTCCCTCCTTTAGTCCATATATTAATACATATATTTTCAGTCTTCTTTTAAGGACAAATAAATCATAGCAACGAGGACAGAAAATTATTTGAACTGGTCCCATTGGAATTATGTTAAAAATATTGTTCATTAAAGTTTGTTCAGTGAAATAACTTTCAACGAGAGAAAAAAAATGGCAGCAACCAAACAGATGGTATATTATTTAACTCTGTGAAAATTGATCAAAGTCTGGACATTTTTCTGGTGGGTAGTTGACTAGACTGACATTGTGCAAGATAGTGTGAGGTAGGAAATAAGGCTGTAGAAAGAAGACAAAAATGATGCTGAAGGGTACAATCCATTATGAAGAGGAAATTAATCTGACACACAGAATCAAATTTCAGTGTCTCCGAACATGGACTTTGACTACACTTGGTTTCTGTGGGCGCAGTATGGAAAACACTTTGAGAAGCCAAGATCTAGATCTTAATTTACAAATTCATTGGATAATGTTTGTTTTTAAACGGTTTTCAAATATTGGAACACAGGCAGCCTAATATTATAATTTAAATCAGTATAAAAAAAAAGAAATATTTTCAAACTCTTTGTTTATCATCTTAAGAATATAAGTCTCAAGTTCTGAAAACCAATCCAGTAATCTTAATTGAGCTTGATAGCTTGATAAATAAAGTTTGTAAATAATTAAAATTAGAACTACGGACTGCTGTTGAGGGAATCAGAGGATGCTGTCGTTGATCAGTTGTGTGTGGTGGCTCAGCATTACATAAAACCAAAGACAATCCAGCAACATTTCTTAACAACCTCAGAGCTTTATTAATTGTTGGAACTGAGTCTTATCCAGGGCTAATGCTTTTCACTTGCTTATTTTGAGGGTGAAATGTTGGATGGTTTATAATATGGTCCTCAAGATGATGTGTGGAGTTGTTTGGTTTTTGTTTTGTTTTGCACAGATAGTCCAGTTTTTTCAAGAAAATTGCTTTTTTGTGTGCAAATAATTCCATTTCTGAAGTAATTGTCTATGTGTTATTAGCATGTAGAGATATACCAACTTGTGGATATGATGAAAAGTGGGACAAGGCTTTATTTTAATTTTTAAAATCAATTTAAATTTTCAAGCAGTTGTAAATATAACATCACTGTAACTGTCTCAAACTGCATGAGCTGTGGGGTTCAAACAAATCACTTTCCAATTTTTAGAATGTTCATTTCCTCTTCTTGTCTCTAATGCTGAAATTTGTTGATGTTGTTAGTGTGGGCCACCACATACTGCCCTTGCCCTTGTTACTGAAACTGTATATAACTACTGTAATGAAATAACTTACTTGTATGTAATGCAATGCACTTAATCCTGCGTTTCTTTTTCTATGGCATAATAATTGGTTTGAAAAAATTTATTTAAAAATTTTTTGAAAGCTGTATAGTTTTTACAACATTATTTTTGCATAATTTCTTTTGAACGTCCAACAGTTGTGAATCTTATGTGTATTCCTAAACAACTTACTCCATAAATGAATTGAATGACCTTTAACTCTTGCCGGATAAGCAGAATTATTTAAGCAGTTATCAGTTTTGTTGCTCTACTTGTACAAAAAAAATTCCCTGCTTTATAAATGAGCTCACCCATTTTGAATGTCTTACAAAGTTTTCTTCTCACCGATCTTGTAGAGTTGTCAACAGTTGATTACTTAAAACCCAAACTGAAATTATTTTTGAACATGCTCAAAATTTGGACAATCTGGAATGTTGACATTTGGGGTCGTTAGTAAATTACGTCATGCTAAAAATTACCTTTTAAGATCCCCCTGTCACGAAATGTCACAAATTCTTTAACACACACCACCACCCCTGTGTCACTTCACAACTAAAAAAAAAATTCAAAACATACATAAAATTTTTGGTAACTAAACTAAGATTTTATTTAACATTTTCCTATAATGGATTAAGATGTAGTATTAAATGTAGTATTATTATGTAGTATTAGAAAACTGAGTTTCATGGTACCTATAATACCTGAGGCAATTTCGACCTCAAATTAATGTTTTAAAAAAAAAAAAAAAAATTTTTAAAAAAAAAAAAAAAAAAAAAAAAAAAAAAAAAAAAAAAAACACCACCCCACAAATTTTTTTTTGGACCCCCCCCCCCCCCCCCCCCCGGGCGAGCGTGACGTAATTTGCGAACCACCCCTTAGGGTGCAACCTACTATTTGAATTCCTTATAAAGATGGCCACCACTGAAATCTAGTTTTGTTGTGGTCCATTAATCTATTGTTGTATAATATCAAAAGAAGACAATGCTACATACAGTGTGTTTTGAAATTTCCCCCACATATTGCACATTCCAGATCAAATGTAGGAAAATTTCCTCAAACTTTAATTTTTTCCTAATGTTAAAATAAGATCATTTTACTTTTAAGATTGTCATCAACTTTAAATTGTAACATTTTGTAACTATATATTATGATAATCAGTAAACTTTTCAACATAATTTGTGCTTGCATTTATTTTTTGTGGCATTTACAATTTTTTGTAACTTTTGTTACTTAGACTTAGATTATGATAAGACATTTCTCAGCAACTCAGATCAGTGATTTAAAAAAACATTTCTAACAATATTTTATTAAATGGTCCCCATTATTCCTGTCTAGGGGTGGCATTTTGAAGTGAAAAACAATGAAATCAAAATAGTAGATCTTTGGCAATGCAAAGACTCTCACAGAAATTAAAGAAATTATTATATTTTTTGTGATCAAATTTAATATTTAACGATTTTTGTCCAAATATTTAGAGTATTAATTCTCTAGCTACATTTGGATTTAAAGTATAACCATTTTTAGTTTTAGTGTTAAACTTTGAGTGTGCATTGATTGATAAACAGCTAGTTTTTATGTGCGGCCTCCCCCCCCCTCTCCCCCTCCTCCGGCGAGTCTTATTGTACACTTTATTTGTATTGCTCATGTGACCAAAGGTGATGGAATACTTCATAGAATATTAATCACAACTTATCTTATCATTAAATCTGATAAACCATTAGGTCATTTTGTTGTCTTTTATTTATCTTAAGATCCGTTAGAAATTGGATGGAAGTAAGGGCCCAGTTTCAAATGATGTTTTGTCCTGAAAGGTTGAAAAGATAAAGTTTGAAGATATGAATGAGCTTTAAAGCCTTGAAGCTGAAGTGTTGTTCACTTGATTTGGTCTGTTGGGGGTCAACTTTACATCAGCTTTTCAGAAGAGGTAACCTGTTGACCTGGATGTAAGCCTGTCGATGCAAGCAGTTTCACCTTACTTTAAGTTATTAGCTAGAACATGTTTGTGACTTGGACTTCATGCTCCATGAATCAATTTACCCATTCAGCTCTTACGTGGTTCACATTTGTAGTAAGTTGTTGATCAGCACTCCTTAGATTGCTTTTAGCTGTTTGTCTGGGCAAACAAGTAGTTTTTAACCAGGGCAGCTACAAATGCATACTTTATAGAAAAATATCGAAAACAATTGACCTGGCCAATTTTTATAGTAAAACGTCCAGTCAGTGGATCATCGCTGCTGTCTCTACCATGTCTCACCTTTGCTTTATACTGTTAGGCTGTAGTCAGCTTACACAGGCTGTAATCTGCTCATACAGTTAGGCTGTAGTCGGCTTATACAATTATGCTGTATTTGGCTGAAACAGTTAGGCTGCAGTCGGCTGCTACAGTTAGGCTGTAGTTGGGTCAACAGGCTGTAGTCAGCTGATGCAGTTAGGCTGCAAATTTATCAGGCTATCTTTTTTTAAAAACTGATTTATCTTCTGTAATTCTTCAATTATAACAAACGTGAAAAATGTTGAAATTCCTATGACTTGGACTTTAGAGTTTTAAACCACAACAGCCCATTTTTAACTGTAGTCAGTTCATGCCTGGACAAACACAATTCTATTAGTTACTTCAAGGGGGAAACTATTTTTCAGAAATGTTATGATGATTTTTTGAAATGAAGTACTCAAATTCTCCTAAGACTTGAGATTTAGAAATGTTTAATTGGTAATGGGAAAGTAAAGCAACAGCCATAAATATAACAAACATGAGATACACAAAAAAAATCATTCCTCAGTAGTAGTAATAGGATGGAGCTTTGACATAGTTACTTGTTACAGGAGGAGATTTTATGCATGTCATTAAATGTCATCGTCATCAAGATGTCATTGTGACATTATTTAATTTTCATTAGTATATCACACGATCATTAGATGCTGCTGTAAAATTAAGTGACAATGACTAAATATGTCAATATTTCATAAGATATCACAGTAAAATTTCACCATGAATGTCATTAAATGTAAAATAAAAATGTACAGAATACTAATTCTTAAAGTGAATTTTGTAAGTTATTTAACCCCATTTTGAGATGTAGGACACAATGCAGCCCTGTGCTGATAGTGATGCAAACTTTGTAAGGAAGCATGTACAAAAAATAATTGTAATAAAGATCAGTCATGATCTCCCTAGGAATGTGTGCTATGAAAATCATTAAAATAACTGACCTAAACTCAACTAACAGTGGAATAAAGCAGATCTCCCTCCCCCCCCCTTTTTTTTTTTTGGGTCTCCAATAATGGGCAACAACCACAAGAAAATTTCTAACTATTATGGAGGCTGCTTGTTCAAATGCTCTGGCAAATACCTTTAAATTTAAGGGCCTTTAAATGTGCGGGGGCTTTTTTTTTTTAGTGGACCATGCATCAAGCGTAACTAATGTAAATAAGCAAAAAATACGGGGAAACCACAGACACATAAATTTAAAAAATCATTGCTTTAGCTGCGCTTTCAAGAACTCTTCATAGCTTATCTTGCCATCTTTGTTCGTGTCCATTTTGTCAACTATCTTACGCATTTCTGGTGTGATGTCAAGACCAATGTTCTGTAATCCTTTTATGACTTCAGATTTGGAGGCGAAAGCGTTGCCATCTGGGTCGAAATTGGCAAAGAGCTTTCTCCAGCAATTCGTCCTAGGAAGAAAGACAACCAACCATGTAACCAAGCAAGCCACAAATGTATTAAATAATTCAAACAAAAATAAAAATCTACTCCATGCCTCATGTATTTAAGTATTTAAATAAGTTTACTACTCTATTATTCCATTGACTCTACTGCAATTTTAGTATTTATAACTACCATTCATCATTAATTGGATAGACTCTTGTTTTGTTTAACCCACTTCTGTTTATCACCATGTTGACTAATTAAAAGATTATTTGTGATACATATCTCCTATAGAAAAATCTTGACACTAAATGACTCTAATGTAAGTTAAATAACAAGTTAGCTTACTTGGCATCAACAGCGTCATCAAACATCAAAGCAATATATTGATCTAAAGTCATTCTACCTCCATCTTCCTGGCCATGATCCAACCAAATTCTCTGGAAGAGGCGAGGACAAAAAAGTTTAAAAACTAAACCAGAAAGATCCATCCATGAGAATATGGATAAAAGAGCATTTTTTAAATTAATTATTTTTTATTTCTTTATATATCCGGGGGAGATAACTATACATTATATTGATCTATTTGCGAAAACAAAATTAGCTATTTCCCTTAATCTGAACTTTAGAAAAAATATTTATGAACAAAAATGATTGAGTAAAATAATACTGTAACTCTTAGTGAAATTGAATTAACTCCACACACTAAAAACTGCATTACGCTGAGTAGGTTTACAATATTTTTTTTTTATGCTCCAAAAAATTTATGTTTTTGTATTTTTGTATTTTTTTTTTCTTGAGTTGGCTCACCTCTGCCCCCTCCACCCCGTCAGGATATCCCAGCAGCATCATGAGTCTGTAGAACTCTTCTTTTGTCATCGTGTCGTCTCGCGTTACGTCACCCAGGGAATGGAACTCTAAAAATGATGCAGTTCTGTTTATTTTTATTAATTTAAAAAAAAACATAAAATGAATTTTTTAAGCATAACAGGAAAAATATAAATAATGGAGTTACCGGTCCTGGTATCAGCATTATTTTAAGAATTATCAGCCCTGAAAACTTTATTATAATGTTGTACAGGTACCTGCAGTGTAGAACAGTTTCCTAGTTTCTATGGAAGGATCTGACACGGGTTGCGTCTCTTCCTTCTTCCATCTTCCTTTGAAGAAATTTCGGTGCTTCTTTTTATCACCGTCTTTTTTCTCCTTTTTCTTGCACTCCGGGTCTTTCTTCCTCTTAAAGAATCGAAGAAAACTCATTCCTCTTATCTCCTCCTTTTATTATTTTGTTTTCCTTTAAAAAGATAAAACATAAATGAGTAAAACGTATCTTTCATCTAATCGGTCTTCTGCCCTAAAGATATCAAAATACCCAACGTTACAGAACTAAAACATAGTCGTTACATCAACTGCCGATAGCTTGAGGTATTCCTAAAGTGTGTCAAACCATTGGTTGGGTCGCTCCGCACTGAGTGGGTCAATACACGGATGAGTGTCACGGAGCATCTTGTCCCTATCTGACTCCAACTCTGCCAAACAAACAACCACCCCCCCCCCTTTATCACTAGTATTAGTATCTAGTTGCCATACTCTCCTAAAAATGAACCACGCAGAAGCTTTGGGGTCAAGGTCACTAACTTCAAGGCCACCTGACAGCTTTTAAACGACTCTATTTTTTTTCAATGACGAGTCTTTGCGACCCCAGCTTCTGTTGCCAAGCTATTTATAAATCGAGACGGTGAACATCAGGTCAGTGCTGAGCACTAGTGACTCACTCCATGTTTAGTACATGACTCATAACTGGAATGTTTTAGACAGCGCCGTGGGAAAGAACTTTTGTTTGTGTTAAGAGTCTCACACCACGAATGGGAGTTTGGCACGAGACAATACAGCCGATGATGCGTGCTGGACAATAGGTCGAATGTGTGCTAACTGAATATTGGTTGTATGACGTAAAATGGGTCAGCTTTGGGGAGATATTTTGGCATTGAGATTATATGAGCTTGTCGTGATTATATGAGCTTGTCGTGATTATATGAGCTTGTCGTAGCTTGAGAGCAGCAGTCTCATCATATACTCTCTAGTCAAAAGAACACACTATACCTGTTGGATTTTGTGTTAGCTCCCTTGATAGAGATGTGTTTAAAATTATACTCGAGCTAGGAAAACTTTCGTACGCAGTTCACTTTATAATGAACTAATTTTATTGCTTCACCGATTTCTTTGTCAGCCATGATGTTAAAAATGACAGTGTCTAAATTTAGATAGCCATTTTTTTACAAAAAGAAAAGAAACGCTTCTTTTTATTAATTAAAAAAAAATGTTAAAAAATAAATGAAAAATGTGTTTTGGTGAGATTTTACATATTCATTTTCAGCATATTGATAAACATTCTCATTAAGATGACAACTTTTAAGCTAGAACAAGTAAATCTATTAGTCAGACATTTAAAGTATCTGTCAAGAATAAATACCCCCCCCCTCCAAAAAAAACAAAAAAACAGCAAAATAATTAAAATTCTAGATCATCAAACCACACTGCTAAAACACCACTAAAAATAGAATTTTTGCCAGGCCATCTCTCCTTGGGACACTATTCCCATTATGGGTTACTGGCCGACTACCTAAGTTACACGCACAAAATGTCTTTGTGAGCGTTGGTCTGACATTGGTCTGGCTGAACAAAAACAATAATTAATTTTTTTTTATATAAATAGATTGAAATAGCCAGTCTTCATCATGCTCGTTGTAAAAATTACTATAAGGAGGGGGGGGGGAGCACCGGGAGGAAGTCTCTGTAAAATAATTGTTTCTGAAAATATCAGCTTTCCTCTTTTAAAGTCGAATAATTGCTGAAAAGATCAGCGGCGTAATCAGATCACCGTCATTATATTAAGATGGAATATTATACTAAGATGGAATATTATAATAAGATGGACTATAATACTAAGATGGAATATATCAACTTCAAAGAAAAAAAATATTATAAAAACAGCTACTGAAGTAATTTTAAAAAAAAAATAATCTGAAACTTTCACGTGACCAGCTTACCCCAAAAAAAACACACAAAAAAACAACAACAAAACAACAACTATGACACATTTGACACAATCTCTTAATGTCAACAACATCCTCTGACCCACTTACTTTTATTCAAGCTCAACTCTCGGACACGTCCTAACAGCTCGCGTCTGTAGACATCAGTGTGGCTCGTGAGCAGAACCCGACAGCGTCCGACCCCCAGATATTCAACGCAGCAATTATATACGGTACCTAGATATACAGTTGCCAACAGGTTGTGCACAAACATTTTGTGTGTTGCCGCCCTGCCCCCCCCCCCGTCCCTCCTCCCGCGTCAATTTACAAATGTGTACATCAAAGTTTCAGACAAGCTGTCCACACACAGTTCTACGCCATGACCAGCTCAATGGCTCACGATGTGAGGACAGTTGCCAACAGGTTGGGCACAAACATTTTGTGGGTTGCCGCCCCGCCCCCCCCCCCCCGTCCCTCCTCCCGCGTCAATTTACAAATGTGTACATCAAAGTTTCAGACAAGCTGTCCACACACAGTTCTACGCCATGACCAGCTCAATGGCTCACGATGTGAGGGATAACTGAATGCGAATTATTATTATAATTTTTTTTTAAAAACTATGTTCATTGAACGCCAGCAGCAGTTGCCAGCTTATGAAAGTCTTGTTCTGCCGATATATTGATTCGTGCACACACCTAGGTTTTCAAATTTCCTTACAACACAAATACATATACGAGACTTTTTTTTTTTTGTTGTTTTTTGTTTTTTTTTTAATCCTTTTATATTCGCCTCGATTTTGTTCGTGTGCTTGTTTAGGGCTAAATCTTCGGACGGCTAATTCCCTGATACTTGGAGCAAAGACTCGTTGTCGATGACAACACATTCTATCAAATTTTAAGCGCCCCCCCCCCCACAAAATAAAATAAAAATTAATTAATTAATTAAAAAATCAGTTTTAAGGTACCAGATGCCACTGACTTCACGAAACAAAATTCCCGATCACTGCACTAAATGAGATTCTTTAAAAATATCGCAAGTGCGTTTGGTGCGTAATATTTTCTTCTTGTTTTACATAAATATTTGGTGTAAAAGCGGGTGGGACATTAGAATATTAAAATTCAGGGGCGTGAAAAAAATGTGCCAGCCTTGGGGGTGGAGGTGGGGCGCTAATTGCGATTCTTATAAAAATGTTCAGCCCCAAATCCCATTGCTCGATAGTACACTTTATAAAAGGATTTATACTACCAAAAAAAAAAAAAAAAAAAAAAAACCCTTGGTTTTTAGGTGTTGTTTAATTTGTATGTGTTTTTTGTTTGTTTAGTTTTTATTTGTTTGAAAAGAGAGCAGGCATTTAGTTTAGCGGCCTAGCAACCAGATCCGTCGCGTGACCTGTGGAGCCTCTCTTCCACTTTTACGTGTTGGGACCGATGAATTCAAAGTTGAAAGTTTACTTCCTTTTTTTTTTTTTTTTGGTCCTTTCATTTATCTGAGAGCCCCTAGAACAGTGGTTCTCAACCTTTCTTTTTTTTTTTTTGTTTTGGTTTTTTTTTTTTTTTTTTTTTAAGTTTACTTCCTTTTTTTTTTTTTTTTGGTCCTTTCAATTATCTGAGAGCCCCTAGAACAGTGGTTCTCAACCTTTCTAGTGCCGCGACCCCTTAATACAGTTTCTTGTGTCATGGCGACCCCCCAGCCACACAATTATTTTCGTTGCTACTTCATAGCTGTAAGGATATATGTTTTCAGATGGTCTTATGTGACCCCTGGAAAAGGGTCCCGCGACCCCCAAAGGGGTCGCGACCCACAGGTTGAGAAGTGCTGCCCTAGAACTATAGGAGTTATCAGCAGGACCCACACCATCAAACCTGTATCAAGCCTGTATCAAGCTTGTAATCAAACCTGTATCAAACCTGTTTCAAACCTCTATCAAACCTCGATCACACCTGCTTCAAACCTAGATATATAGCGTGAAAAAGAAATCTCTCACCAGCATTCTCCTGCCACATTCCCCTGCCACATTCCCCTGCCACATTCCCCTGCCACATTCCGCTGCCACATTCCCTTGCCACATACCCCTGCCACATTCCCCTGCCGCGTTCCCCTGCCACATTCCCCTGTCACATTTCCCTGCCACATTCCCTTGCCACATTCCCTTGCCACATTCCCCTTCCACATTCCCTTGCCACGTCGTGCTCGTGCCATTTGTTAGATATTAGGGTGTCATTTCTTTCTAACTTATTTCGGAAAACTTGCCGGAACAAATCAGTGACATTTGTCTTGAGGGCAGCATGGTCTTTCACATTTAGCATGACGGATACAACCTACCTACAGCCCCCTTCCCACCTAGCATGACGGATACAACCTACCTACAGCCCCCTTCACACCAGCATGACGGATACAACCTACCTACAACCCTTTCCCACCTAGCATGACGGATACAACCTACCNATCTGGTACAGATCTGGTACATGGTTGGACATTTGAATCTGGTACAGATCTGGTACATGGTTGGACATTTGAATCTGGTACAGATCTGGTACATGGTTGGACATTTGAATCTGGTACAGATATGGTACATGGTTGGACATTTGAATCTGGTACAGATCTGGTACATGGTTGGACATTTGAATCTGGTACAGATCTGGTACATGGTTGGACATTTGAATCTGGTACAGATCTGGTACATGGTTGGACATTTGAATCTGGTACAGATATGGTACATGGTTGGACATTTGAATCTGGTACAGATCTGGTACATGGTTGGACATTTGAATCTGGTACAGATCTGGTACATGGTTGGACATTTGAATCTGGTACAGATCTGGTACATGGTTGGACATTTGAATCTGGTACAGATATGGTATATGGTTGGACATTCGAAATCTGGTTATGTGGATTGGAAGGTTTATTTGTTTTCAAATCGCGAGCAAAAACAACATCATGGTTATCTCCCGTAATATCCAAAAGAAATTTATTAAATTGATAATTATGATTCATATTAAATCCTTCTCAAAGTTCAAAAAAAAAAAAAATTTTTTTTGGTGGTATGGCTCTTGAACCTATTTTTGAATTATTAGACTAGTCTCACGCCCCTAACAATGCATTTTAACCAAAATCTCGCTCCCCTTTAATAGTAGCTATTCATTTTTAAATAAATGAACTTCTAATTTATTTATTGAATTGCAAAGAGAGCAGTAGAAGACGTGTGGCCTATCAAATTAAGAAAAACGTTCTTGGGGACATATTTCCTGCATTTTATAACCATTCATATCTACTCAAGGAAGCTCGGTGTGACTATGTTTGGAAGTGGGTCGATCAATCACGAGAAAACCAAACAGTGGATCGCAAGCCGAATTTGACATGGGCATTCCCCCGCAGTGCCCCCTCCCCCGGGAAGCAAAGTGCCCCCCCCCCCGGGGAAAGCCAAGTGCCCCCCCTCGGAGCAAAATGATGGGAAGAGAACTCGACTATAATCAGACTGTACAAGACAAACGCAGTCTTCGCCCCTCGGATACCGTGTTGTCTCTTCGCCCCGCACCCCCCACCGAAAATCTGAAGTGCCTCCCGAAAATCTGAAGTGCCCCCCGGGGGAAAATTTCTCAAAGAAACACTGCCCACCTGACCTACAGGTGGTTCCAGGAAAGCTTCGCCGTCATACTCTTGTCCCAAAAGCCGTATTTTTTAAATTTGAAAATCGTCAAATGTAACGGATGAGTACAAAAATCAATTTTATTTTCATATTTATACTCATACTTTGAGGGACTTTTTAACTCTTCGTTTTGTTTCGTGTACGTGTCTTTGATAAGCCTTTATTCTACGTGCTTGTTAACAAACAATAGTACAATATTTTTTTTTTTACAAGCACGTAGTTCATGGGCGTGCAAAAAGGGTGCTTTGTACCAAGGGGCTTACAGTCATGGGTCTCTTTTATTAATTTTGTTACAACTTTTTTATATAGTGGATGTGTGGGTGGCGTGCGTGTGGGAGGGAAACTCGCATTTTTTTTTTTTTTAATTCAGAACCTAAAGAAGTATTTAGCAAAACTACGTCACTGAATGGGTTGGTCGATTTTATGTGGATGGCAATGTCTCAGAGCCATCATTTTGTTACACGTGGAACAATTTCAGTCCATGGTAGATTTAACTTTTTAAATTAAATTATCTACATGTTTACATTCAGTAAAATCTTCCGTTTTAAATTCCATACAAATAAGTTTTATCTAAATATCGTTTACTGACATCAGATAATGACTCGGTTGTGTTGTGGATTGCTTTTTATGTTTCTTATGTTCCTATTAGCCTCTATGATTTTCCTCAAATGTTTCGAAATCAGATTTTAATATCCAAATATTTATAGTAGGTTCTGCAGTGCATTTCCCTTCTAACAGCCAAAGCTTTGCACGAAGGCTTACAATGAGCGCTTCTACGTGAATTGTTGCGTCTAGACCAAACTTGGTCCAATACATTTCATTATCCCTTTTAGATCATTGGTCATTGGTAGATTTCAAAATAATAATATCCACATTTAAAAAAAAAAAAAAAAAAAAAAATGTGTGTGTGAAGTGAGATCCCTTTCATTAATCAATTTGAATGGGACAATTCGTTAAAATAAACTTTTCGTGATCCAACCTAAAAGACTCACTGTTGTAAAATATGAAAGATTAAGTTCCTTTTTTTCTTATGCGATCTATATAAATAAAATTAATCTTAATGGACATTCTAGATCTGGAGGATGGAGGCGGAAAGCCATGGATCGATCCCAATGGAAGCATGTAGTGGAGCATGGGTTGTAGCGCCACTGACGATGATGGATAGATCTAGACTTGGTAACTTGGTACACATGTGCTTACAATGGGTTGTAGCGCCACTGACGATGATGGATAGATCTAGACTTGGAAACTTGGTACACATGTGCTTACAAATCTTGATTGAAAAACTCGATGTGTTTTGATCTCATACTATTGACAACCAGCGGGGACAGGGCTACTCATTTCATTTTCTTTATATAAGCCATAGCATTGAAATTGTTCAACCAGTTTTAATGGGACAATATTTGAAATAAAGTTTGTCTGGTATCCAACATAAAATACTTACTGGTGACTGCTGTAAAATATGAACGAAAGATATTAAGATCTTTTCGCGCCGAGGTGCCAAGTAGTCAATTATTGAAGGAGAGCATCGTTGTGTATTCCTTCCAATTGAAATGGGATGAATTCGACACATTATTTTGAATATTTATCTGAAAGATTTTTATTGTTACCCTATCTTAGGGATAACTAAAATTGCCTTTTTTTACAATGGGGATCAAATTTCCTTTGAATTGATAAATCTTCATATCTTTGTCATTGATATATGCCTTTTTTTATAAGACATCTTCTAAAAGTTAAATTTGTTCTTCAAATCCTTTCTCTTTGAATAAATGGAAATAAGCTTTATAGCATTTTAATTTAAATAAACTACAGTTCATTGAATTGTATATAGGGGGGTGCACGTTATTACAAATATCCCATAGCTCAGTGGCATTTATAAAGAGTGCTTTGATGTACTTATTTACTGACCTGGGGGTTTTGTTCTTAATTTTTTATTGCCACCTTTGTGTACTATGTTTCTTGGGAAGGAAGAATCACAAGTTTGAGAATCAGCCCCAAACAGAATTTAGCCATTATATGAGTTGGTGCATTTTATGAGGATATCAATGTCTCAAAGGCATCATTTGTAGAATATCCATGTCTCAGAGGCATCATTTGTAGAATATCCATGTCTCAGAGGCATCATTTGTAGGATATCAATGTCTCGGAGGCATCATTTGTAGGATATCAATGTCTCGAAGGCATCATTTGTAGGATATCAATGTTTCAATGACGTCATTTGTAGGATATCAATGTTTCAATGACGTCATTTGTCACACACGGAACAATGTCAGTTCATATAAGATTACACTTTTTGTTAACTAAATTATTTTAATGTTGTACATTTATTATAAGCTTCTTAAAATATCAAACAAAATTCGTTTATGTCTTAACTTTATTACTGGCATTCGATAACCATGATATAGTATTACAGTGTCAAACTTTGGCTCTGAATAAAAATCTCGAGAGAAAAATAATCACCTGCGAGGTGAGATGTTTAAGGCGATATGAGATTTTTAAGGGGTCGTTCGCATATTACGTCACGCTAAAAATGACCTTTTAGACCCCCCTCCCCCCTGTCACAAAGTGTCACAAATTCTTTACCCCCCCCTCTCCCCGTGTCACGTCACATCTAAAAAATCAAAACATACATACAATTTTCATAACTTAACTTATTTTATTCTTTAACATTTTTCCATTATGGATTAGGATGTAGTATTATTGGTTACCGGAAATTTGATCGAAAGAAATTTCGTCGACGGTAAATTGATCGACGGAAATTTGATCGAACGGAAATTTGGTCGAACCTTTTTTTTCAGTTCAGACGTTAAAATTTTCGTCGAATTTCTTTTTCAACGCATTATACTATATTGCTAAATGAAATAATGCGTTCGAAAAGAAATTTTAAGCAAAAGCTTTCACGTAAAAACTGAAAAAAGTTTCGACCAAATTTCCGTTCGATCAAATTACCGCCGATTAATTTACCGTCGACGAAATTTCTTTCGATCAAATTTCCGGATACGAGTATTATTAGAAATCTGTGACGCGAAACAACGAAGTCATCCCCGAGCCGAATGTAAATTGGCCACAACAGTTTTTGCATCATTTTTTTATATACGTAAAGGGTGTGATCGACTGAATTTAATTAAAGTTTTTTTTTTTTAAAATTAGAAAATTTTAGATTATAATTTTTTTTAATTATTTTTTTTTTTAAACGCGACGTCACAATTTTTTTTACCCCGCCCCCTTTTTCCCCTGTCGCAAAGTTTTATGAATTCTCGACCAACCCCCCTCCCTCCCCCTGAGCGTGACGTAATTTGCGAACGACCCCTAAGGCCACCTGCTGGAAGAGCTAGAAGGTCCCACATTCGGTACCAGGAAATTAGCGAAAGTGGTTGGTGCCATCCCAATCAGCCAGTATATGGCTCACCAAAAAATTCATCGGTTTGGAGAGCTGGTCAGAATGGATGCCTGTCAACCAACAACCTGTATTGCCCCAAACGTATATGGCTGGCACTCAGGTTTCGGGAACACTTAATGATTACAGGATGTATTTTAAATAATACCAATAACCTGTATAGGGCTAGGTGTAAATATACATTTTAAAAGTTACTTTAGTGAAGTGTTGTTTCTTTTTTACTCATAGGCGCCCGCAGGGGGGCACTTGCCCCCCCCCCCCTGGATTGATTGGATAAAAAAAATTTAGACAAAAATAGACAAAAAATTTATTAAAGTAAAGAGAAAATAAAGAGAAAGTAACTAAGCTGATGTCCTGTCCATTCGTTCACCATACAAATACGCTACAGTAAATTAAAACTATATTAAAACATTACTAAAAAAATTTTGCCCCCCCCCTCGAAAGTAAATCGATTTTTTGCCCCCCCCCCCCC